ACATTTTTTTATGGGGCAAGTTTCCAAGGGCGGGTTTTCTAGGGCGAGTTGACTGCCAAAGTGCGAGCCAGCGTGTTATTTGATCACAAGTGCGAGACATCGCAGTTGTGCGAGGTATCGGCTGAGAGTACAATTCAAAAAACAACTATAGGTCTAATAATGAATTATTGTGATGTTAAATAGACAACGTTAGCTATCAAGGAGAGACGTTGTTTTTCATTGGGACCTTCGTCCCTTCAAGGCTAGGCCTATACCATCCTAGCTAGTCTAGGCCTAGAGTAGGATAAGGCTAGCGCGACATGCGGACGTTGGTACGTGTTGGTTAGTCTACAAATGTCGCCTAAAGTAATTGATTTTACCTGGCAGAACGAAAGAAGGAAACTCCGCTTTTCAGTCGTCTTAGGCCCTTGTTTTTTGACAGTGACCTTTCAGAGGTCAAATTGCTGTCAAGAATATGAATTGGCTGCTTCGCAGCAATAAATATTGTCATAAATGTTTGTTTTACAGTAAAGGAGAAAATAAAATGAGAAGTAGAGACTATTTCTCATAAGAGATTACCATTTTCTAAATGCCTTATTTGTTACTAGGCAAATTCTGCTGGAATGCTTTCGCCAGCTATTTTTTGTGTACACAGGTCTCCCTCCAATTAAAGACCACTTTTGGCAACGAGGTTTCCATGGTCCTTAGCAGCTTTGGTCTCTCAGAATAATAAAGAAAAAGAAATTTGTTAACTTGGGACCACAGAATAGTGGACTTTAATTGGAGGTGGTCCTTAAATGGAGGGGTCTTTCATTGGAGTGTGTCCGAGGTAGGCAGGGTAATTGTTTCACAAACCCACCACATTCTTTATTTTTTATCTCGCACACCTATGCCATGAACGATCATAAGATATTTTAATTCATCCCACAATTAATTAAATAAAAGCATTACTTAATCTGATTTACTGAACTGTTTACTTCACCAATATGATCATGAGTAATAAAGTGTGCCCTCTCTAATGAGACTAGTTTTTGTACTTCGCAACTCGCACACTGTGGTCCATCAAGTCGGCCTGAGATATATTTGTTTAACTGTCAGAATCTCGGTCATAATAATTTCTTAACAAGTTTAAAATAATTCAAATATATATACTGTATACAATGTGTTAATCAAAGATAGCAATGAACAACAAGTTCTGTATATGGCTGAATACTTGTATTATTCACCAGGTGTTCAACCAACGGTATTCAACACTTAGGCCAGAATATGATATTTATTACAGCGCCAAACATGCCTCTGTACTGATGTATATTTAGGCCTACTCATTGGCGTATCTAGGGGAGGGCGCGGGAGGCGCACGAACTCCCAAAAATCGCACCCCTAGTCGCCCCACCCCTGAAAGAAAATCACGGTCAAGTAGTTAAAAATCACCTAAAATCATCATATTTTGCAAATTAGTGACCCTCAACTGATCATTGAGCCCCCCAAATCAACCCTACCCCCCAAATCAAGACTTCTAGATAAGCTGGGCCTACTTTAGAAATGATATCTAGCCCGTTAATAATACATTTCTCTATTAAATTTAATATTATATATTTTTGTCGGCATGTTATATCTACTTAATTTATTGGTATGCAGAAAACATTTGAAAGCTTGTAACACCTTCAGAGTTAAACATTAAAATTTCAGTTATATTTTTCATTATACTTTTATACTACATCCAATTTAAATGCACATTCACAACAAAAATGTTGAAGAAACTCACCTGCTATATGACAATGCTTTAAAAGGTAAATTTTTAATTATTGGTATTTCCGAAAAACATGGATAATAGATAAGCTTTAGCTTAGATTCTTATTCTTTTGGATATAATTGTTGACAGAATGGTGGGGGTGGCATTGCTGCCGAATATACATACTTCCTTATACTGTTAATGTTATAAATTCGGAATTTTTATGGTTAGAGATATCTGATGGTAGAAAAATTATTATTGTTTGCATTATTTATAGAAAGCCTACCACTAATATATTTAAAGGATATTCTTAATATTATTGAAGCAGACAAAAGCATCAATGCATTTCATTAGGTGATTTTAACATTGACCTATCAAAAAATCATGATAATGCAACAATAGATCAATTTTAGACCGACTTGTCTTCAATTGAATCAACTTAAAACTGTCCCTACCATGGTAATCAGTACATTCCTGATGATGACATAATTAATGTCAAAATATTGAATCCCAACACGATGGCGTGTATTTCAATACTTGGAGTATGTATTATACTTTCTAATCAGTACATCATCAACAATTATTGATCATATCTACACTCTGGGCGTTTAACCACTTCTGCTAGATTTAATTTTATTTAACTTCCAACTTTCAGAACTGTGCGCCTGATAGATAACGACGAATTGGCTAGCAATGCATCGTACCACACACGACCGAGTTTACGGGTAGTAGTAAAATCAAGTCATATCACAAATCATGAATGTGATATAATGTCAACTTTACACTTCCGGATTCTTACTTCACACTTTTGTGAATGTCAACTCACGCTCATAATGTCAACTTTACGCTTGCGGATTGACCAAGATAGCAAAAAAGAGTAATTTTGAGCATTTTAAAAGATTTACACATGCGTATACGCGCACGTCTTGACGCCCGTGAGCATAACACAAAGAGTTGACTCCTGATATGAATACAGTGTCTGGAACCCAAAATATGTAACAAAACGTAATTTCCAGCTTCATTACGTACTGTGCGCGTGGAAATGAATGTACAGCGCTTAAATTATGGTAATTTTGGAATGCTGAAAATGACCTCTGGCCTGGGATTTATCAATCTCAGCTTAGCAAATGTCTTAAGTAAAAAAACATAAGATGACCCTAAGCGAAATACAGTCTGACGCCCTCTGTGTTCTATTTTTTTTACATCTTTTAAGAAAGAGAGGGCTCCAAAAATTCATTTTTTATGACCATGATGACGTGTTCAAAATGAAAAATAAAGGGACACTTCTGAAAGAGAATTGTCTCAGCTATAACATACTCACGATCGAACAAGAATAAGCAAGATATGTTCAAATGAGTTTAGAAATAGAGACGTTATAAATAAAAATTCAGTTTTTTCTTAAATCAAATGGCAATATGATGACGTCGCAATGTCAGATCAGCCATAATGATCTATAAAATCATATCTACAACTCATGTGCTTTCAGAATATGTAATAAAAAATTGGGGGTCACCTTTCATCCAAAGGAGCTATAACTGATTAAAAACATTCATGATTTTAGCATATTTTCACTTATATCGGCACAAATCCGCGCAAAGATCCCTATGTTCGATGCGCATGTACGACATTGCTATTGGCCATATGATGGCCGAAAAGAATGGAAATTTGTGAAAACAATTTCAGGAACCCATAATATGTAAAAAAACGTAATTTCTAGCTTACGTACGCAGCACGTAAAAAATGAACGCGCGTAGTGAAAAATTTTTAAATGCTCAAAATGGCCTAAAATGTGCTCTAATTTAGTCAAAAAGTGATTTCGAGCATTTTGAAATTTTGACGCACGATAACATACACATGTAAAATTAGGGTACAGTACTTTCAACATTAACCCGAAGTTAATGCTCACTTATTACGATTTCGAAATGGCAATTGGTTAGGCTGATATGATCGATAATGTAAAAGCGCAAAATTGAGCATAGCTGACATCATGCATGACTGGTCACCTTGAAAACCTTACCGTGACTATTCTAGGCGAAGCAATTTTGAGATATCGTGCGAACATATATTTGACAGATATGTAGAAGAAAAAAAATATCTCTGACAATAACAAGAGGTGATCCACTAGGGAAGCGGATCACCAAAAACTTGTTGTAGTGTTTACATACATGTGTTTTTTAAATAAGATTGATTGAATATTTTATAAGTAAGTAAGCGCGATTTAAAATGTGTTAAAAATGCCAGAGAGCCAAATTCGCGCGCAAGAAAAGACATTGAGAAACTTCACAACATGATCGCTTGATCGTCAAAGCTAGCGGAATGATTTTTTTACATGTTATCAGGCTTTAAAACAAGCTTTATTGTGATCATGCTGTATATCTGGCCATTAACAGAACTGGTCCATGGCACCCGGATTTTGGAAAAACCCCCAGGTTATACATCCTGCTGGTTTGTTGAATAGCGAAGGGTTCTTAAATCATTTATTGCCACTGAAGCCCATGAGATGAAGTGAGTGATTGTAATGGGTTTCTTGTTTACATTCCAATGGCTATATGTTGCTGGCCAGGACTCTCTTGTTAACTCCCAATGGCCCTCTAATTCGAGTTAACTTTTTCAGAAATAAACAATAATGATCAATCAAAAAGTTAATCATCTAATTGAACCAACCCAGAGAAGACTCGGGTCCCACATCCAGAAGTGGTCTTGAATTGGAACTAGAGATCTAAATTGGAGAGCAAACTGTATTTAAAAATGTATGCATAATGTGCAGTACATTATCCTTTGAAGAAAACATGTCAGGTCTGTACAAATTAATGCAGGTTTCTGAAATTTCTATGAATTATAATTATTCTTTAGAAAGGGCTGTTTGAAAAGTTCAACACATTCAATTCACAAAGCGGAAAAATTAAGTGTTATTTTGTGATACACTGGACTTGGGTCCCTTTTATATCAATGATGCACTTAATACTCAAAAGACAAATGTACATATGTTATTATTAGTCTTATATTGTGAATTATTGTTGCACATCTCTTTAGCGATTGTGCCTCTGTTACAAAAGAGGAACAAAGTTATTACTATTATTATTATTTCTCATGGCAAAAGTGGCCTTGCCCCTAAAAAAAACCAAATTCGAGGACTGAAGGTGACCATTTTGAGATCCAAGATGGCCCCCATAATGACACTGGATAAAGCTGTTTCTACCAAAAATTGAATGCTATGACCATAAGGAGCAAAAAAAATGTGTGCACTTTTGTCCAGAACATCCACCTTCCGTACAAATATGGCCATAAGCTGCCATTATCAAAATCAATAATTACCTGCAGCCAACTGGTAAAGTCTTGGTAATGTGGCTTTCACTCGTTCTATTCCATATTGCACTTGGGTTGTGTAACCACTAAATTCTTGACCTAGAGTTAGAGGAGTTGCATCCTAAAAAAATGAGAACACAATTTAAGGAAACTGACAATTTCAAGGGTGGGGTGGGGGGATGAGACAACTGGCCATATATTGCTTATTTGACCTTTCTTGAGTTCGGGAAAAATACTAAAATGTTAAGATGTAACGATAATTATAGAAACAAAAAATGATATGATGAGACACGAAAATCAGGTGAAAACGAGGCTGATCACTTTTTTCAGTAGCTTGGTAGCAATTTTCTAACCAACTCATTAATATTCATGACCAGTTTTAATATTCATGATCAATTTTGGCGAGCAGCTGATCGAGGAATCGTCCCGACGATGATCAAGCGACTAGCCTATACTATAGACAATATCCCATATTGAAATATAGTAGTAGATTTAGGTAGTTCTTAGTAGGCTTAATAGGCTGGTAATAAATTTTATTATCTTGACTACTTACTAAGGATTTTAAGATTAATTTTATGTCTACATCCTGACTACACAAAATAGATACAGTAGTTGATAAATAGGTACTGTCTATAATTAGCGACACAAGTCATTTTATTATAGTTGTTGTAGTGCTATTTGTGGTAGATCTGTGAGCTACACCATTGCTAGTAGTTTTTAATAGACTTTAATAGTGCTAATTTTAATAGGTGTATAATAGACAATGAACAACCAGTTTTTGTGTTTTTGTTAATTTTTAGTTTTTTAATTGGTTGTAGATAGTATCTGTCTATAGATTATTAACAAACAGTAGGTAGACATTATGCAGCTATGCTACTAATAGTTTTATAGTACACTTTTTGTAGCCTCTATCAATCTATTCATAATATATATTAGGTAGGTGTATAATTCAAGTTAATTGTTAGCTTTTCAATAGCTTGTAGATAGTATCTCTCTATAGATTATAAGTGAACAGTAGATAGACATTATGCAACTATCCTACTAATAGTTTTATAATACACTTGTTGTAACCTCTGTCTGTCTATTGATAATATATAGGTAGGCGAATAATACAAGTTAATTGTTAGTTTATTAATAGATTGTAGATATTATCTGTCTCTAGATTATTAGCAAACAGTAGGTAGACATTATGCAACTATCCTACTAATAGTTTTATAATACACTTTTTGAAGCCTCTATCTATCCAGAGGTGACGGAACTAGGGGGTGCTGCGTTATTGAACAAACAGCGTCTAGCTAACGTCTTACTTTTTATTGGAATTTTGTTCTGGCACCAATTTCAAACAAGATCAAATGCGCAATGCATGTAATAGCCACGGAAAACAAATAGGGCCCTAGGTCTTAAGTTGTGACTTAAAGTTGCAAATATAATTGGAAGAGTTTGTTATTTAGAAGCTGATTGCAAAAAAAAAAAGGCAGAAGAATATTGACAGAAAGAAGGTTTTGAGAGGATGATGATTATTATAATAAATTATATAGTTATTTGCTATAGGCCTACCTATATACTAACATCATATGTTAGTATAAACAATTAACCAAGTCATTTGGTACATTCATACAGTAATTGGGATTTGACAAACAATAATATTGGTGGAATAAATAAACGAATAAATGATAAAATAACACGTATTACATTAATAAAAAAACATTATCAATTATTAACAAAATACATAGCATCATACTAATGCATATATAGGCCCATGAAAAATACATTATTATATTATTATTGTATTATTATTATTATTATTATTATCAAATGATTAAATAAGTTACAAAAACCATTACGATTAATTTTGACAAATAAATACTGTATGTTAAAAATATGAAATGTTTAAACGTTAATTATACACTTGGGTAATTCCATCACTTGAGTGTTTATTTGGGTAATTGCATATCATTTGGATATTATTTGTGTAATTGCATATAATTTGGGTAATTGCATATCATTTAGGTATCATTTGGATAATTCCCTATCAGATTTATTGGGGTTTCTATTAAAGTTTTGTTTTTCCACAAAACCTCATTTGATATTTTACCTCAGCCTCAATTTGTTCTTATGTTGTTCTTGTTTTTTTTTTTTTTTCTGTATGTGCAGTAATTTATTATAATAGTACCTTTTCTATTATTTGTACATAATTTGTATTGAATGTGGAATAACGCATCATCACCCGTGTGTATGTGCTGCCAATGAATGTAGGAAGATAGCCACCCCTGTCGAAAGCCACCCACCCAACAATGGATTATACCATTGTAAGGTGGGGGTGCACAATGGGGTGTTTGTTTTCATGTTGGTCTACAATAGGTTTTGGCTGTTTAGTGATAGGAGTTTTTTTTGTGTCAGACCTCTTTTATTCATTTGTATATTATGAATTACAAACTGGGTGTAGCCTACCTAGGCATAAACATGATTTAGTACTCCAAATGCAAACATCATCTCTTAATTTTTTGTTTCCATTAATTAAATTAAAAGTGAAGTAATTTTCACTGCTCTCTGATATTTTTACAGTTTTATTTCACTGTTTTCACTTTCTTTTATTGCAAACAACACAAAGATTAAAGTTATTACAACATGTTTAAGGAATTACAACATTTTATTCATTCTTTTACTTTCTTCTTTTCTTTAAAAAGAACATAAATACGGTATTAAATATCACCACATATTTGATTAAAAAAGATAAGTAACATTTTTTGTAATTTCAAAATCAACTACAATATTATTTTCTTTTCTTTATCACAAATGACATTACAGTAATTAGCTATGTACAATAGGCCTACTATAAAGATATAATTTTCTCACTTTCTTTTCTTGCAAACACATAAGATTAAATTACCACAACATGTTTAAGCAGGGTTCGTATGCATCCTTAAATTTCTTGAATGTCCTGGAAAAACAAATGAGCATTTTCTAGTACTGGAAAGTCCTAGAAATTTAAGATTGTCCTTGAATATCCTGGAAATTTGATCATTTAATTAATTGCAGTACACCAATTTGCCTAGTAACAAATATTACAAGATATAATAATAATAATAATAATAATAATAATAATAATAATAATAATAATAATAATAATAATAATAATAATAATAAACAGGCCTAGATGTTTGTCATTTGATAAAGAAAGAGAAATAATATGTTACTTGAAAAAAAGTAATTCAATAAATTTCCAATAAAAATATGGTCACAATAGTAAATTTAAAAAGAACAGTAAATAATTACCTCATAGTATAATGTATATATTGGGCTATTCCATGCCAAAGTGGAATTGTATATAGATAATTTTGCTTACTTTGTAAATAAGTAAACAATTAGTAAATAGATATTTGTGGCAAAGACAAGCCAAACCTGTCACTCGTCACAAAAATCAATTTTGAGTTAATAATACAGTGTTAGAGAGTAATATAATAGCTATAAAATGGTAAATAAATCATTCAAATCGGACATTTCCTTATGAAGTTACAAGCGTTTAACCACACAGCTGTTTAAAGAACAATATGAGAAATCAGCCTTCAAAGATTATGATTTCAGGCATTCCTCATGCAGAAACTATCTTTAAATCCTTAAAAAGCATTGTTTTAACATTGAAAATGGGGAAGATGACAGCATAGAATGATGTGTAGATACATAAAGGTTAGTTTAGTGCAATAAAATAGTTTTTAAAATTTGACATTCCAGCATGTTTTGGCCATTTTCTCTGAAACACGATTTGCGACGATTGACTGGTTTGGCTTGTCTTTGCCACATTTGTCATTAGTAATAATTTTTTGTTCCACATTTTTCACCTAAATTTTTTTCCAAACATATCCAGGGATCAAACTTTTTTGGGGTAAATAATATTGTTTTCTTTTAATAATATGGGTTTATTCAGTAGTATTAGGCCTACAATTAGAATAAAAAAAAGTTATATTCATGAATGATTTTTATATCATTTTATATTTATCTGATATGGTTTTTCAGAAATAACAACCATATATTATAAATCCCATCAATGTATTTTTTGATTAAAGTTTTTGAGAAATCACTATTAATTATTGAACTAAAAAAAAGTTAAAGTTGAATATTAAGTAGAATAGTGCCTTTATGTTATATGGCCAGACGAACTGAATTTTCACAAGCTGTAGAATGAGTTATTGTAGAATGGGTTACTATATTTTAGGTAAGGTCATGATAAAATTATTATTGAGAGGTATTACTTTTTTGTTCCATAAATATACACGTTGCTATTTGGACAGTAATAACAGTAGTTACCTACTATGTTCTGTTACTTTTGATACTTTCAAGAATATTAAATAATGATTGTTTTTAAAAAAATTAAGTGAGAAAGTGAAATATCACTGAAAAAGAAAATATAGTCATTGCATTCTACAGGTATCACACAAACTGATAAAATAATTATTTATACAGTATATATCAATAGTAACGAAAGTATAAATAATATTACAAAATTATTATAGGGATAAAAAAAGAAAGCGAGAAATAAAATATAGTCATTGCTTTATACAAGTATCACAAAAACCTGATAAAATAACTATAATGTAGTGTTTATCAATAGTATTGAAGGTATTTTAAAAACAAAGAAATAAAATATCACATAAAATTATTATATAGGCTCTTTATAGCAAATCCCTTTATAGCACTTGTCAAGAATATATTTAGTAATAGTAAATATTTATTTGTGAATAATTGTCATATCAATACACTGGAAGTGAAAATATTCTAAATTTTTACTTTACTTTATGTAAATAAATAAATGCTATTAGTAAATAAAGTAAATAAATACTGTACAGAATAAATAGATATTTGTCATGGTAATAAAGAAAGGAAAATAATATTTATTTATTTATTGTTTGTAATAAAATAAGAAAAGTGAGAAAGATGAAAGGACACTAAAAGAGTAAATGAATGTTGACTGTAAAAAATTTTTTTTTCTAGAAACCACTCAATTGCATAATTAAGAGAAGCTATCCAGTTTTGCATATGGAGTACTAAATTTTTATGCCTAAGTAGGCTAGACCCAGTTTGTAATTCATAATACACAACAGAATAAAAGAGGTCTGACACAAA